CTGAACTTACCGGAGAGTCTGCGCATTCTTCACCTTCAGGTATTCCCAAAGGATTTCCTTAACATTCTCTTAGGAAACACCCCAGAAGTTATACCTTCAATCAAACGTGCTCTATTTGAAAACAGTTCCCGCTACAGTTTTCCACTGCACCTCTGAATAAAACAATTTACCATATCAATGCGTATGACCACAACCATCCAGATGTTCAGAAGCTGCTAATTCCCATGCAAGGATTTATTACTGGTTTCTGTACATCAGGGATAGGAAATGGCAAAAAGAAGCTCTAATCTTTTATGAACAATGCAGGTATGCATTTATTTATGAAAATGTTTTGGTTTGCAGTACAACAACATCACCACCATCACGGATGACACGTTCTGCAAGTCCAACAACACGCGCTACATCCGCACGCGGATGGACGAGATAAGGATGGAGGGCAACCCCATCGTCCTGGCCAAGCACGTCAACGCCTTCTCCTGCCTGAGGATGCTGCCCGTGGGAACATACTACTAGCACTGCTTGTGCCACCCTTCATGCCAGAGCCAGGCATGCTAAACTAACAAGGATCACTCTGTTTACAAGTTCATATCCTCTCCCTTACTAATGCTCTTTTCCCTGCATACCCAGGACCTTCTGCTATGTTGCACCGTTCTCCTCTGAAATAACCATTTCAAACCAGTCATTTTAGTAGCTATGGTGTCCCTCATGCTTTCAGAATCTTTTCTGCTAATGAAAGTGTAAAAACATATATATGCACATACATTATCTCAACTTTTATTTCACCACATACTCTTTAGATAAATCACACAAAACTGTTTCTTCTCATTCTTTACCAGCACTCAGAACAAACACCACATTTTACTTTCAAATAAATGCAAGATTTTCTTTGAGCAAACCAAAGAGGAAAAATACTTCTGAATTCTAATCCCACTCTTTTAATCTGGAGTGAAATCTTTTCAGTTGACCTTCGAAAGTGTATTGGATGAAGATGCAGATGAAAAAAAGTTATGTTTAGAAACAGAACTTCTCAAAGCTTAAACTCATTAACATTTCCTTAAAAATTTGATTTGTGGTAAATGAAAATAACTCCTATTTAGGTTTAGTACACCGAGCAACATAGCTGTAACTTTGCAAAGATGTTTTAGATTTCCTTCTACTATTCTGCTTTGAAAATAATATGTTTTATTTTTACACAATGTATTTTTAAGTGAAATATATCTGTTTTGCTGAGCTGTTCTTACAACCCCAGCTTCCTATTTTAAAACAGACTACATACAGCATAACAGACTCAAAAACCTTTGTTATTAACTAATGATGTAGACCAAGCCTTGGTTCCACAGCTTCTCCTGACAGGAAATGTGACAATATAGTTAGGAGCAAAGCTGAATTCATGTGTTTACCTTTAAATAAGTATGATTTCATCTAGATGTCAGACCAAAAAAAGAATCACCCTTCTACAACAATACTGTTAATCATTAGGGAAAAACCAAATCAGACTTAGAAATTACAAAGAAAAGTTGATTCCATCATTAATCTGAAATCAGACATAACTTCAAGCATTTCACTCAACTACGTGAACCTCTGCAGCATATTAAAAACAAAAATTGCCACGTGCAGGCCTCGACACTCAGTTCTCTAAAACTGGCCATCACTGATAAGGATGCCTGAGGATTCTGCCTCACAATGTTTTTAATTCCACAACTGTACATTTCTGACATCCAGTTTCTCCAATACCTCCCACAAGTGTAAAGCCTGCAGACAAATGAATGCCAAAGGTGTGCTAGTTACTATTGTCACATCCACTTTGTACTAATTTTGAAGCTAGTATAGATTCCTAGTTAGTAGAAATAGTTAAGCATCAAATGCATGATGATGTATCCCTACATCTAAAGCATTGATTTTACAAGATTTTTTGTACTAGTTTTATTTATCTTATTTAGCTAAGCCTTGATTTGTGCTTGTGCTATGGGGAATTGGTGCCCACAATTCTGAACACATATTTTTGCCCTGAACCTGTTACCCAAGAAAAACAGCAACCCCCAATATTTTCCATTTTAAGTTATTTAGTGTAGCAAGAAGGAAATTACATTATCTTAATTGAAAACTAAACCAAGTACAGCAGCAATACTTGGTTTGCATTTTTCCACATAAATAATAAAACTTTGATGTTCCCAGGTTTTTAGCAAAATGTAAAAAACAACTTCAAAGCATGTAAAAATACATTCCAATGTCAAGCCAAGTATCTATTTGGAAAAAATTAAACCCATCAATTCTCTCATGTCTCTTGTGATAAATGCCTAAGATGGAAAAAACACAGCTGTAAGTGTAATAATGTTACATAAGCAGCAGCCTCTGATCTTATTCTCATCACAAATCATTGCTACTAAAACTACTTTAAATAAATCACCAATAAATAAATACCAGTAAATATCACCAAAAATGTGTATGCACAAGCAAATGTGTATTTTTTGTAATATATGCACACATGTAAACATTCTAAAACCTACCACCACATGATTAATTTTACATTAAAATGTTGTATATATTTTGAAACATACTAATTATCATCAGTAACACTAATTAATGCTCTTAACACTTTGTGAGCAAACCAAAGTAGACAAGTGGTACCTTCTGAATGTCTCATGTAGGCACCAAGTTCTCTGATGTGTTTTACTTTACTTTCCCCATTCACAGCAAGTTAATCAAAACATGAAGTGAGAAAGGCTTCAGTAGGGAAGACTTCCACCTCCTATTTTTGTGAGCAGTACTAGTATCAAGCTGAATGTAAACCATTTTATTTTTTTTCCTATCATTCATTTCTGTTCTGTATTGCCAATAAAACTTGAATTTTTGTTCTTGTTTATCAGTACCAGCTTCAACAACCTGCTCTTCCAGCCATGCCAACATTTCAGTTGTTCAGCCTCACAGCAGACTAAGGTTAGAAGGTTATTTGTAGATGTAAATCCATTTTACAGACATATTTATTATGACAAATGTAGAATACAGAATACTTAGTGAACACTCCACTTGCTCCTTCAAAACCTATTTTGAATCGACCTCGAATTGCCATTAATCTCAAAACATTCAATATTACTTGAAGTACTCATCCACTTCTACATTATCCCTTTCTTCTCAAGTACCAAAAGAGGAAAAAAAAACAAACTTCCTTTGGTGTTTTTACAACACACTCAGGAAAGTATCAGTAACTATTTCTACATAGAAGCCTTGGCAATTTTCTTTAAAAAAAAAAAAATAAACCACAAAACAGGTTAATAGAAAAGCTATAAACCCAAGACTCCCCCCCAACACTTTTCGCTCCAAAACAGGGGAGTCTAGAGAGCAGGTAGGGGGGGAAAAATAAATACAAAGATTACAGACTCATTTTAATGCGTAAGTCTGAGTATTAACAGGATTGACTCTTGAGTTGGTTTTATGCATAGATTAACAACATACGTCTAATTGTTTTCCCACAAATTACTAAAACATTAAATTACAAATATACATTCTCCTTGGAAATCTAGTTATTTTAATTGTCAGATTTGATCTTTCAACCCTTTTATTAATTCTCTTACCTGAGAAAGTTTTCTGTTTCAAGAGTAAATGATTAGCAATGCTAAGGAAAGTAAGAAGGTCTGAAATACTCTTCATAAGCACACAGTCAGTCATATTTGGTAAAAATTCTCCCAAATTGGTTTGTCTTTGACCATGGAAATAAAACTACCTTTAGAAAGAACATCTGTAGTACTGTCAAACTTGTAATGCCTTCAATGAATTATCTTCACATATCTTTTAGCAATTAGTAGATAATTTCATTGTTTATACTCAACATCTGAACAAATACTTTTAAAAACTGCTTATATAACAATCAGAAAATTGTCTCCAAAACTATTTCGTATTTTTTTATTATATTTTTAAATGAGAAATATTTACAACAGTTCACCAAATCACTGTCCCAGAAACCACAATCACTGGTGATCTAAGGATCAGAAAGCATCAAGGGAGACTGGAAAAAACAAAAATTGCAGAGCCCTAAAACTCTTGGTGCTCTACTTTTTCTATGGGGGGATTAGAGAAAAGCCCTTAGACAAAAGCCAGCAGGATTAGGTAATGCCAGTTCATTGCTCACCTGAGGACTGGGTTTTATTTTTAGTGCTATCAGAAAATAGAACACTTTTTACCTGTTCTGGTTGATTGGATAATAGAAATTGATTAATTTGGCACAGAACTCAAAGGCCTAAAAGACTGAAAAAATAGGAAATGTTGGAGTTCCCAATTGATACTACAGCTGAAAAGTAAAGATGGTGTTGAGTTTAATGACAGCAAATGCTTGAGGTACATAAAACTCAGCCCAGAAACCACAAACAATTAAGCAGCGAAACATCCTTTTCTAACATAAAGCATCATGTAAGATGTTTTGTGCCTGTAAGACTGTAGTATTTTTACTCCAAGGATTAGTTGTTGATCTTAAAGCCAGCACAAAGCCAAAACAAACAAGCCAAATACTGGTAATTTAAAACTAAGCTCAAATACTGTGTTTCAGTTAGAAGGGAGCAATACTTTATTTCTCACACAAGTAGAACACTCCAGAACTGAAAGTGTTGTCATCCAAACACATCCTGACACATCTTCAAGAGAAACACATCTAATCCTTCAAAACCAACATTTATATGCCAAAGACTACAAGTGTTTGCTTTTAATTTCTTCTTTTTCCTTTTTTTTTAAATCAAAATAAAATATAATACCAAAGCAAACTGTCTTACTTCTTCACAGAAAGGCACAGTCTAATTTTCTTTCACCCAAGAGGAGCACAGCAATTGTTGCTCAATTGCCCCTTGAACACAGCACAAATTTTTAGCTCATATTCTCTTCACCTCCACATACAAAACTAAGATCCTATATTCTGCTAAAGACAGCCAGTTTCACTTCCAATGCTCTGTCTTACTAAACTCCTTAAACAATAAATATTGTACTAATAAAAAAAAAGGCTTGATAGACACTACCTTGAAATGCAGGAAGGTATGTTTACGATGTTCATACCACTCAGCATAGGTTGAAATGCTTCTGAAAAATGTTAGAAGATCTCCACGTTCTTCAGTGCTATAAAACAAAAACATATTGTTTAACCCACTCATAATCAGATGTATCAATATGATCGCCTAAATTCACACTTTAAAAAATGTATTACTAGTGTTTGAATATGAAGTAGAAATCACCCAAAATAAGAATTGCAAAGCTGAAAAAAACTGTAATAATTGAAAAAGAGGTTGAAGAACACATTCCTAAACTGATGTTTCTAGTGTTAGTCTTATGTGTAAAATGTAGGAACAAAGTAGTCACCTGGAAAGTCTTAGTTTGATTTTATTCTTGTTCAACTTCTTTTCTAAATAAATTCTAAGACGTTGCATAGTAAAACCTAAATGGTAAGATTTCCCAAATTGCATCACTAACCTTCAAATATTCCCAAAATCTTTGTCTTCACTAACTAACAATGCATGACATGTTACCTGCTTCTGCCCACATGACATTCAGCTTCTCAAGATTAACCTTGCAGCTTCACTAGGAAAGGAGGCTGATGACACAGGGCATCTAAAGCCAGACTTTTGTCAGACTGCTAAATCTTGATGCGATCTTGTTTTCAGAGCAGAGGGGCTCCAGCCCTTTGAACATCTTCCTCACTCTCCTCTGGACCTGCTCTAACAGGTCCATGTTCCTTCTTATGCTGGGGAGAGAGTGGGAGGGAAAGCTAGATATAAATGTTTATTTTTTGAATTTCTAGTAAGAATCAAGATAGAGAAAGTAAAAGAGACAATATAAGGTGACAAACTGTCAGGCAGCAAAAAACACACAAACAAAACTGTTGGGGAAAAGAGAGAAGAAAAGCTCATAAAGGGTGTGCAATTTTCACTAAACAAATGCAGCCAGAATGCAAAGGATGCAAAACTCCACAAAAACCACATGTCAGAATACCTGAAGTAACATGATTATTTAAACATAAGGGTGAAAGGCTTCATGTCATTGTTGATACGAAGCCACAGACTATTAGCCATGATCAAAATACACCTGGCAAGCGCTGTTTTGGAAGCACAAATATTTATTTTGGCTACTAATATAGGATTTTACAAGTTTACAAAACCTTACTGAGGAAGATATCTGCTATTTGAGAATATTTCAGGAAGTTACAGTATTTAAATTCTAATGTAAATTTGACTTCTAAAATCCTTTCTGAGATTAGCTATTCTTTTTGGATTTTCAGAACAGCTGAGAGCAAACTTGAGGCATTCACAGAATGGCTGCAACGGTGGATTACCAAGTCAGTTCAGCCTTCCTAGGGAGAACTGTGCTTCAATTCTGCTCTTTTTAATACACAGGAACAGCAAACCTTAACCAGTTGCACAAAGAAACTGGAAAAAAAAATACATTAAGGTCATTCAGATATTGAAAATGTGAAAGAAAAGCCAAACAAATTTTATCCCGGTCTGGAAAGAACAGCATCATTAAAGGAAGTTACCACAGTAGTCACAGCTGCCAACAAAGTCAGGCCAAGATGAAAAAAACACTGGCAGCACTGGGAAAAGTGAGTCCTTGGAAGGATACAGACATTGATTTACAATAACCACAACTCTGAATTGTACATGTCAAAGCCTACACATTCTATAGGAACTTGGTAACAACTGCCCACATCCATGCCTGGAGAACAGATTCCACACAAATTGCACTGGGCTTTTGCAATCTCCACTCGTGGAACAGGACAAAGCTTTGTTACAAAACTACATACTTAAAATTATTTTTGAAGAACTTGGCAATTTTATAAAATCCACATTTATGCTATTTAAAATACTATCACAAACACTGTGACCTCGTTTTAGCATGGTTTTTAGTTTTCTTTTTTGCTTCAAAATCATTTTTAGGTGATGCAGCAGATAAAAATTTTCAAGGCTAGATCATTAACAGAAAAAGTTTTTTGTAGAAGTTCAGAGAAACAATTTCAAATGCACTAGGTAGTCAACCAATGTATCTGAGGATGTACTTTTCTCACATAGCACTGGCTAAATTCAAGATAGAAAACTGAACTCAGCATTTAGAAAGGGGGAATCTGTTGACAAAACCAATTGTATGTAAATCCATATTGGTAAAAACTAAGAGACTGCATAAGAGCACCAGTTCAGTGAACTCTCACAGCATCAAATCTACCCATACACACACTAATTCCTAATTAGCCCAAATAAACCTAATTCCTCCTTGCTGAAGTCAACTACACCACATGCTAAAATACCAAGGAAACATGGTATAAAATAACAAAGTAGTAAGAGAGTAGATAGTAAAATTAAAGTCTTTTTTTATTTCGAAAGAATTTAACATTACAAAAATCCACTTGGAGCAGAAAACATCTGTCTCCAATGCCAACATCCGTGTTACAGAGAAGTCATCCAAAACCAGCTAAAAGGATACTCAGGCAGAGAGTAACTGGTTACTCTCTCTGGTTAAAATCATGGGCTGTTCAAATACCCTTTCACTTTCACAAAATATCAACCAAACACAGAAGTAGATGAGAAATTTAACTGTTGTTAAAAGTACCTAAGCCTCCTTTAATGTGTTCCTTTATGTATTTTAAGGGAGAAAATATTTTTTAACACTGCAGAATGCAAGACTTCCTACATTAGCATAGAAAACCAAGGCACGACTCAAAGCTGGGGATAGAATTCCTACTTCCCTTCATTTGCAATAGACTTTGCCCATGCAGCATTTAATATAATGCATATTTCCTAAATCCTGCACTCTGACTTACAGATTCTAACTAGTTAGTAAAAAGTAAGAGCAATTTTCATACTGCTTAAAATCTCTATTTGCCTAAGTAACCCAGGCAAAGGTGAACTCCTCCAACAATTAATGGGGTGTCAAGTCAAAAAAAAGGAAAAAGGACTGCCAACAGTTTTTTAGATGTTGTGATTCTCAACACTAGTAAAGCAGTAAGTGGTCCAAAGGGGACACAGGTGAAATCCAGAAAAGACAACTAAATTTTGTGATTCCATTTGCATACATCTGTTACTGTCACAAAATAATTAAGAAATTATATAAATATATATCCACTTTTTAAAAATGTACAATTCTTATTCAGAGATTTATCATTTATAAATTGCAGCAGTACCTGCAGACTGCTGAATTTTGCTTTATTGAAAAAGATATGCTCAAGTGTTCCAGCATTCCCCTATTTTCTTCCAAAGCAGGAACTGAATGCCAGGTTTTTAACTCTGCTGCTCTTAAAGACAATTTTCTGACATGTATTATGAAAAAAAATAAAGCAAAAAAAATTTAGAAAACTGGGGAGGAAAAAAATCAGGAAACAAAACCAGAATAGGAGACAAAACAGAACAGAACTAGACAAAGGATTAGGCAAGACTGGGCCAAGGAAGCAAAAGAAGAAAACAAACTGATAGGGAGGCTAAAATGAACACAACAGCAGGAGACCAGATTCAGCTGGTCAGGAATGGGGGGAAAAAAAGGGAAGAGGTAGGAATTTTAGGAGAACACTAAAGAACAAAGGGCTAGTTGAGAAAAGTCTGAAACTGGACATGAGGGGATTACAACTTGGAAAAAGAAATGAGGAGTAGCCCAACAAGGGGATTGGGCAAACAGGCCCTGAAGGGAGGTCACAGACTCAATGGAGGGAGGGTGCTCTCAAACAGGCACCGGAGGCATCAGCCATGGACTCACTGCCTTACACTGGCAGCACACACTGTAGCCAGGACAAGGCATACAGGAAAAGTGAAATTTGAAGGTGTTATGGGGGACAAGTTTGGGCTGTTCCTCACCCCCAAAAGTATTTTTCAGCCTACTGACCATGCTGATCCTATTGGTCATGTGGCTGCAAGGGTATCTACAGACACAAGGCCAACAGGTGGCATGTGCAAAGGGAGGCTCAGGAGAAGGCATTGCCTGCTTTGTTGACATCTTCTATCGTCATGAAAACTTGTGCTTATTTATGAATACTGGCACAAGGTGAAAAAGGAGAAGACACAGGGACAAGACAGCAGTACTCCAGCCAGGACGAAACTTCCTTTCCAGTGTTCCAGTAAGTTCCAATACACTTCTGCTGTCATAAAATACTCATGAATAAAACAGGGCAATTTCCTTTTCTAAATCCCACTTATTGAGAGTAGTCAACTGTTCTTCCCAGTTTCACCACAAGCTTTAGTAGATTTATATGGAAATTTCAAAGCCTTTAAGTAAAATAATCAGTTCTCAGTAGAGACTACTAGACTGAGGTAACTCAATAGACCTCTCTCTTCACCCATCTGTTGGCCCTTTCCCTCCCTCCCCCACCTAAAAAAAATAGAAAATAATTAAATCAATGACTCAGTGATAATGGATTTACTCTCAGAACAGCTTGCTAGCAGAATTCAGTGGAATACTGCAGATAAATAATTTGATCATTTGCTCATCATGTTACCATAAGAAGCTGGCATACTCCAGAAAATAATTAAAAACAGCATTAATTCATACATTTAAGTTTTAGTATGTTAATTTTCTTAAGTCATTGCACAAATACACTATTCCATGTTTTTAAATTATTTTTTTTTAAGATATCAGTGAAATAAATCCTGTTGCCGACAATAAAAATGGAATTGAGAGCTGACAATCAGAAACAGGCTAATACTGGAGAGGGGTTCTGGATGTGCACTTTAGGCATTACCCACACTGCAAATCACATCCACATATAAGGAACAATTATATTAATTAAGATGTAATAGCTGAGGTTGTCTTATTACTTTTCTCTTCAAGCAGCTAAAACACACTATAATCCAATAGTGTTTAACATGAATTTGTAATGGTCCCTTCAGATCTTAAAAATCACATGCTTTTCATCTTCTCTCCAAGATAAAGATAACGGATGGGAAGTGTTTAGGCCGGGCTAAGGACACATCACATAAAGACACTGGCTGCCAGCAATTTACACGAAAACTCAGTACTGCATTTAGCATCCCATATCCCACACAATAACTTGCCTTGAGCAAATAATCCCATCTTACCGTGACAGAAACTTGCTCACATTTGAATCTTCTGTGGATTCCATTATAATACTGAGATCACTAACAACAGCAGACACTTCCTCATTGTTCTAGATTGGAGAAGTAACAGCAAAATATTTTAGAAATTGCTCTGGCGAGGAAAAAAATGTGTCTATTTGCATATAAAAATATAGAAAAAAGTAGACATAAATGCTGCTAACTACTATAATCCTTAAAATAGTATTTTTAAAACTACAGTTTAAGTGTGTGAACAGTTTCTTTTATTTCAAGAGTAGCACTATTATCCGCACAAGGCTTTTAGAATAACACCCGAGTTTGTCAGCATAGAATACACATATATAAAGAAATGTTCATTACTTCTTTTCACATCTATCCCACTTCTTGAGGATTCTTCTCATATTCCAACACAACCTTGAGCTGCCACATATACCAGAAAATTCACATATAAGGTTTTATCTGTTAGTTTTGGGCTGTTTTTTAAATTTTAAACCCTACAGGTTTGTCTCAAAATATTGTATTTTTTACAATTGCTGTTACTCAGAAATGTGTGGGATAATAAAATTATTCTAAATTAATTAATAAGCTGTTAAAGAATGAGAAAAGGTAGTCAGAGTAGAAATGAAGCCACAAAAGTTAATTTGGTTTTCTATGCATTCTTGAACACACCAAAGTAATGGATTAGATAACAGTGAATGAAAAAGCTTAAAATCATGGTTTGAAGACCACAGGAAATGCTTCACTTTAAACTTCTTATACCAAGTCACTACAAGCAAATGGGAATGGCAAGAGAGGACTACACACACATCACAGCAGTCCCTGTACTGCTTGGACAGAAGCCCTGCTAACACTGCCAGCACTAAAGATGGGAAAAGCAAAGCAAGGCACTACAGAGATTAGTTGATATGCTACATACCACCAGGAAAAATCATTTTAGGTTTAAAGCAAAAGGTCCAACAGGGCGATGGAGTTGTGGAGAAGCTGCCAGCAGTCACAAGCTAACGTGCCACCTTCTGAAGGGACTGGTTTGCCAAAGTGGGGGTTATTAACACGCTAAAATGCCATTGTGGTGCCAAATAAAAATATTTAAAAGGAAAGCCCTGGGCAAGAAAGAAACTTTTAAATTATTGCTTTCCCAAAAGGCTTAGACTTGTTTTGGCTGATTTTCAAGCTCACATGCTCTCCTAATACTTAATACTATGGAGCTGAATTAACTCTATTGTGACTTCACTACTAGAATAAATAGCTACAGTTAACAGTGTGAAAAAACTATTCCTGATCTTCTGCTGCATACCAACAGACCTGTTACCTGCTGGGCACTTCCCAAAACTAGCATTTACTCCTCAGGACAGGTTAGGGTTAGGTTAGGGTTACCTTGTCCATGTTAATATCAGGACAGGTTATTTTAAGTATGATGCACTTCTAGCAAACAAAAAAAAAATTCATGCAGAAATCAGCTCAAAATTATATTCTTACAGCTGAAGTGAGGGGTTTTAAGTTTATATACACCAGGTATTCCCTATCTTATCAGCATTCAAAGTAGCCCAAATTTTAGACATTAGGCAGCCAAGTGCTGCCGCTCAGTGGTGCAGTGGCTTTAAGCACCAATACCATCGGCAGTAAATTTAACACCCAGTAACCCCTCTGAGCCCCACTGACACCAAAAGATATCATCATGCTGGAGACGCACATGAGAAACATTCTAAGTGCAGTTTTATATAAACAAGTGTAAAGAGGCATCATGAAGACCACAAGTTTTAAGTCACAAATGGACTTCAGAGGTTGCTCATTCAGCTGTTGCAGTTTCAAAGGATAAAATCCATGTGTGGCTATTTAAATATTCAATTCCCAAATTAATACTATGGCTTTTCTAAATAATAGGAATGGCAGGATAGAATAGAATAGGAATGAATGAATCTTTATTGTTCACTCTGTCCCATCTCATTAAATTAAAAAAAAAGGCAAACAACTTTAAAGCTGAGCTGAAAAATCAAGTTTTTGTGATGTTAGAAATACCATTGCAAAGTACAACAGTGTTAGAAAAATACTATTGCAAACTGGGGTAAAAGCTGTTTTCCTTTGTTTAGCATTGTGAATTCTGTGCTAAAAATACAGTCTTATGAAAGAGCTCCCTCCCAGAAAATCTGCAATCATTGGTGTAATTTGTGGCAGTGCTGCAATGACTACTCACATTAACCAAGCCCACACAAATATAACCAAAGGGAAAAAAAAAACCAAAACCAAACCCAAACCAACAAAGAGAGCTGCTGAAGTTTGTAGTGTTTTGGCTTTTCTTCAGTTGCTTGAGAGAGGTAACATTTGGCATCTTCCAATTTGCAGAATAAGATATGTGACTACAGAATGTGCTGTGTGGGATGAAAGCTGTGCTGGGCCAGGGTGAGGCCCCAGCAGGCACCTGGCAGAACTGAAGGACACCAAGTGCACCCAGGGCTTTACCTCAGTGTCAGTCTGCAAGCGCATCCTGCAGGGAGCACCTTTTGGGAAGGAAAGGTGATAAAGACCTGGCAATACTGGATTAACAGCTGGACTTAATCTTGAAGGTTTTTTCCAACATAAATAATTCTGTGGTAACCATTTTGGGGCTGATCACTAAACCCAACCTTCTATCTACTAGCAACTGTCTTGCTCGGATGCACACAGAATTCCTAAGTTGGGTCCAGATGTTAAAGAGCCAAAAGAACACACTGAAACTTAGATTAAACAGTTGAAGGGTTCAGCTGGAAAAGGAAGCAGTGACACTTGTCATGAAGTTTTGCTTGGTAATGGGATTTTTTTATAAAGCATACATAGACCCTTACCTCCATTTCAAGAAGCTGAAATTCCAGCTGAAAAGACAGGGAGTGACACTTCCCTGATAATCTATGCTTCTGCAGCGTCCCGTTTTGAGCTGTTATAAAATCAGTTAGCAAAATAATCAATTACACTTCTATTCAATAACTACTGCATTTCTTCCCTTAGTCATATTTAAAGTACCAACTGTCACCATTCCTCATGTAAAGAAGTTTAACATGCTAAAAACCACCAACAACTAACTCCACTTTCCCAAGCACTTTCCAAAGCACAACAGTAGTCTGTCACTTTCCCATGAAAGAAAGGATATTTATATAGAAACTGTTTTGTCAATGAACCAAACCTTATTGTATTTCAAGTAATTGTCTTTCTGCTAACAGTGAATTAGAACAGAGGTTTGCAGATGAACTGCAATCAGTATGCTCAGTAAAGGGCGCAAAAACTGCTTACTTTTTTCCACTGTTTTCTTGGAATGACTAATGAAATTAAACCCAGTTAATTCTATTAAAAATGAGAGATCTGCTTCTAGACTTTCAAGCTGAGCTTTCAAGTTGGATAGAGATGCATGTTCCTTGGTTTCTCCCTGAGTTGCTCTTTGGAATGAGTTTCTAGAACAGAAAAAAAAATAAAATCAAAAGGGCAAAATACCCAGACATAACATGTCAGTACAGCAATATCATTAAATAAAAGGCATTGGTAATGGGATCTGATGGTTTTCAGACCCAAATCAGTTTCTGAAGGGTCAAGTTTCAGTTGGATCACATTGCTGGAAACAGTGAACTATTCTGACTTACATGAACTCATTCCATTTACTGTCAGGCAGACACAGTTTTTATCCCAAGTCCGGAGGAGCAAGCGTCCATTTTGAGAAATGTGCAAAAACATGCAAGAGAAGGGAGCTAAGATGCCTTCACTTATCCACGGAGTTTACATTTAGTAACATAAGGAAAGTCCTAACAGAGAGTCAAAAGCTTATCCCAAACAATTTTGACAAAGAAATCCTATTAATCTAAGAAAAGAAAAAAAAAGGCATACATTGACTTCAGTATCTCCTCATCAGAAAAGAAGGTGGATTCTTGTTGCATATCTTCATACTTTTCTGTCAACAGCCTAATTTCTTCTTCCAGTGCCTGAATTTCATCTTCATAAGCTTGAAAAATGCCCTCGTCCATTTCTCAGAATCACTGCACAAAACAAAACAAGGATTTTTCTCAGGAACAAACAAGGAATAAATTTTTTAAAAACACAAATATAACATCAGGCAATTGTTTCAAGACACAGAGAACTGCACAGCCTCCAGAAACAGAAGTTAAATCAGGGATCTAATGGAGTCAGAGGCTTTAAGAACCTTTTAAATTAGTCATTATTTGATCCAGGAGTGCACTCAGCTGTTTTACATTTGCTATAATAGAACAACAAACTGCTCCACAGGTAAAACCCAACTGCAATCAGATACAAAAATGGAACCCAGCTTTGATCAATTGACCTAACGACTCACCTGGGCAGACAAGGCACAGCTGCTCCTAACACAATCTGCCTTCAGAGTAAACAGCAGTACAGAGACACAAATTGCAAGCATGTTTCACCAATAATTTAAAAAATAAACCTCAGTTTTCAGGAAAAATAATTATCTGGCATTCAGCCTAGGTACAACACATTCAGAAGTGTGTGGAAAATATATGCAGTTCAAAATTAATGTGCTATTTTTTTTGACCTGGAAAAACCCAACATTTAGTTTTGTGTGGTTTTAAACCACCCCTACTCTATGTGGGGTGGTTTAAAAGGTGAGGTGTTTAAAATGTTTTAAACCACACCTACTCTATGTGGTGTACAAGTTCCACACTAGCATCATTCAGTAAAAGGAGATGAGGGGGAAACTGGATTTTATTCATTTATTTCATAGGAAACAGTGCCCTTATAACACACATAAGGAAACAACATTGAAAGCACGCTTTGCATTAAAGGCCTGCTTAATGAATAAAGGAAGTATATGTAATTAAATAATCATCAAGTCATCACCAGATTTTTTTGAACTGGATATGGTGAAGAAAGTCACAGTCACAATAAAGAGACTGGTGTGAAAAAGAAAAACATTACCACCGCCGGAATGGTACCCCAGGTCAGCTGCTCGCTCTTTTAACAGCAGGAACAGGAGATATAAACTACTTACAGCTACTTAAACTCAAAACTCAAGGATTTCACTAGATGGCAGAAGACTCAAACACTAATTCTGGCTTCAAAGATTTTGTATCTAGGAAAAAATACCTAGTCTTGAATCAAGTAAAACAAAACTTTTACAAATAGTTTTCCTCTTATATACGTGTGTACATGTATAAATATTTGTGCATTAACGGCACATTTCTCACATTTCTACGCACCTGCCCGTTTACAGCCCCGAGTATTTGACTTTATGCTGCCACAGGAGGAGGTGACGAGCGCTTTGGAGCGTTTGTGAGAGCCGAACTGGTGCGTTCCGTGCCCGCTGCTTCCCCGCGGCCTTTCAGACCGCGCAGGGCGCTGCTGAAATCGCGACTCGTCCGAAGAACCGGAGCTGACCCGCGCCGAGGCTCGCAGGTGACAGAGGTGCCCCAGGGGCGGAACCGGTGTCCGAGCAGCGCAGTCGGGAGCCGCGGACACCCGGCCTTGAGAGAGGAGCGGAGGGAGCCGGAGCTGTGGGGGAGGCCGCTGAGGGGAGGCAGCGCTCAGAGCCGGGGAGCGGAGGGAGGCAGCGCTCAGAGCCGGGGAGCGGAGGGGCCGCACTGAGGGCGCTGAGGGGAGGCAGCGCTCAGAGCCGGGGAGCGGAGGGGCCGCGCTGAGGGGAGGCAGCGCTCAGAGCCGGGGAGCGGAGGGAGGCAGCGCTCAGAGCCGGGGAGCGGAGGGGCCGCACTGAGGGCGCTGAGGGGAGGCAGCGCTCAGAGCCGGGGAGCGGAGGGGCCGCGCTGAGGGGAGGCAGCGCTCAGCGCCGGCGCGCGCGCCCCGCACTTTTCGAACCGCGCGCCAACCCACGAGCCTGGGCGCTACCACAGCTGCTGCCCCAGCGGGGGGCGCCGGCCGAGCCTTCCTTCTCCTCCCTGTCGAACCGCAGAGCCGCCGGGGAATAATTCCTGAGCTCTTGATTACAAACGAAAGCAATAAAGCCTTGCTTTGTCGGCCGTTCCCTTGCTGGCGGTAATTTTTGCTCACGTGCTCCGGAAAACACTCCCGTTTTTCTTCCTGGTCCCTTTCAAAGCCTCCGCTGTGGCGGGACCCAGCCCCCGTGTTGCCACCACACCTGACCGGCCGGAAACAGGAACCCAGTAGAGGCGAACGGCTGATCAGCACCCAGCGGTACCAGGAGGCGGAACCCTTTTTATCTAGCGAGAGCTGGGAAGAGTTGCGGGGGGGACAGGGAAGGCGGTGGCGCTGCGCGGCTCGCACATGGCGGCGGTGAGGCCGGGCTGGGGCAGCTCCGGGGCGGCGGGGCCGGGGCGGCTCCGGGGCTCCCTCGGGCCGGGGCTCCCTCGACATCTCCCGGGAGGGCGGTTTTGGACTGTGGGAGGCTCGCGTTTCCGCCATAGGGAACCCTTGGGTTATATTGTAAAGAGCCGTTTGCGCTTATTTTTGTCCATACAGTTACATGGCTCAGTTCTGTGGTTCAGCGTTTCAAAAAAACCCCGACACCTGAGCTCTGGTTTCCTGCAGCAGCGTGGGGTTTGCTGTCGCTGCTCTGGAACTGAGCGTCTTACCTACTGCAACTCAAATGAATACCCTGCTCATAGGGTTCTTCATGGCTTTTTAATGCGCTCATTTGTCCCTAATTCGTTATTCTAAAAACAGTAATTTCTGTGAGTATCACTGAACTGCGTTGTCTCTTTGTAGAGGAACAGAGTGTGTGTTCTGGTGTGACACCTGGACTTGGCAGCATGGAGAAGGTTTCCAAACGTCTGTATGTTGGAGGGCTTGGCCATACGATTTCCAAGGCTGAGCTGGAAGAAAAATTTGGCAAGTTTGGGCGTGTTTTGGAGGCAGAGATTATTACCAGGAAAGATGATCAGGGTAACAGTTTTCTTTCATCTTTTAAAAATTATTTACTTTTCTGGTTGGAGCGGGAAATGGAATTTTTGCTTTAGAGACACTTCAGTTTTAAAGGAAATTATGAAACTACATAGAAACTAACTTATAATGTTTGTCATTGATCAGGGAATCCTACAAAAACTTTTGCTTACATCAGTGTCAACATTTCTGATGCAGATCTCAGAAAGTGTAAGTACTTTTTTTTGGTTTTTCTTTTTTTCTTAGCTATGTTTTTGAGTCAAGTCACATGGCTGATAGCTCATCTCATGTTGTCACATCTAGTTGTGGTCATGGTAGAGCCTCTTTCATTTTCTTGTCAGGTTGATTTTATTTTCATTAAGCTGCAGTTTTGTGGAAGCTCCTTTGCTGAAGTTTTCAGAAATTGCTGTGAGCAGATTGAAAAGGTTTCTTGTGACTGAAGTAGGTGATTTGTGAGTTTCAGAGACTCAGAGAATGATGTGGCTTGGAACAGACCTTAAAGATCATCTCACTGCACCCCTCTGCCATGGGTAGGGACTCCTTCCATTATCCCAGGCTGCTCCAAGCTCTGTCCAGCCTGGCCTGGGACACTTCCAGGATGGGGCAGCCACAGCTGCTCTGGGCACCCTGTTTGTTTGTTCTAAGCCTTTTATGCTTCAAGTGCTTTCATCAGATCTATAAAACACTGAAATTGATTTCTGTGGGAGGAAACCCGAAGAAGAGCTTCTTTTGCAATGTGCCTGTGGATCTGGGGAATGCTGCCATTAGGCACTTTTGAAGGGAGAGCTGCAGTTTTGGATGTAAACCTGCTGGTTTAAGATTTGGATATTGGCCCTTTTAGATACAGCTTTAACCCATGTGAGCACTCGGGTATAATGTCAGGCTGAGGGAACCTCAGGCTGTCATAGAAGGAGGCCTTGTGAAGTCTGTGATGTGCTTTTTTTTGATGTAGAAAACACTCATTTCCCATCTTTGTTTTGCAGGCGTGTCTGTTTTAAATAAAACAAAATGGAAAGGGGGGACACTGCAAATTGAGCTGGCCAAAGAAAGCTTTTTGCACAGGTAGAAACCAATCTTTTCAAATGTATGTTGTTGCTAAAACTGCCTTTCTTTTCTGGTTATCTGATAATGTTATGGCTGTACTTTCATCTTGTACACTCTTACTGTTTCAGTTTTGATAGACTCTCTGGGCTGTTGATTTATCTTTGATGCTGTAACACGTTTTGCATCATTGTTCCCTCAGAGGTGGTGGGTGTTAATTGCCTGAGTAGTGAATGGTTGCTGTTCTGTGGGAGGGGATCACTGCCAGCTCTAATTCTGCACCTTTTTCCATGTGTGATGCACTTTCTGGTACAGGCTGGCCACGGAGAGGGAGGAAGCAAAGCTGCAGAAAGAAAAACCAGAGAGAAATGACCAAATGTATCTGTTGGAATCACTGAAAAAGAAGGGAGTTGTGGACTTCCACATGAGAGCAGTACCAGGTACAGAGGTGCCAGATCATAAGGTATGGTGGGGTAGATGTATAAGAGAAATAAAACAACAAAAAACAAGTCATTTGCATCTAAATTCATGCCAAATTTATGCTTTATGTAAAGAAACATCATTATTAAGAGTGACAGTCCCAGCTGTAAAAAGTACTCTCAGGAAATACCTCGTGTGCAGACATGGAGAGGGTTCCTGTCATTCTTTACAGTGACTGGAAATAATCATGATCATACTGTCCACTCTTGCCATGTGAAATGAGGAAATGCCTTGTTCCTCATCTATACTGGAAATATTGGTTGTGTCACCCTTAAAAGCTTGTAAAGGGAATAATTTCTATGCTCCACATAACTTTTGGTGGCTGGTTTGGGCTTCAGCACAGGATCAGGGTTCTGCCCATGCTTACAAAAGTAAGAATGAAATCACCTGACATGCAAATTTAGGTAACTAAATTTATATTTACTACAAAGTTTTCAAAACCATTTGCTAAGCACAGAATGGTTTTGGAAGGATTTAAATTTTTTTTTTGTGAGAAGGGGGAAAAGAGCAAAATAAGTGATCCTGTCTTTGTAGGTACCACTGTTAATTCATAAACCAGAAACCCAGTGCTAAAAACAGCACCTGTAAAGAAATATGGTTCTTTATTATCACTCTTTATTTGTATGTTGCAGAAACTTGTTTTTTTGGTTGGCTTTGGTTTATTTTGTTTTTGAGAAGGATGCTAGCTGAGCTGCATGGTAGGGCTTACTAGAGAGAATAAAGAAAAAATAATTAATCACATATGGTTCTTTATTAGTGTTTCTGGTATTCAATAATAAACATTTGTTTTATTCCAGAGTTACTTCTACTCTCTGGTTTTTTTTTTTTTTCTTTTCTTTCAGAAATGGGTTGTTGGAAAATTTGGCAGAGTCTTGCCTATCCTGCACCTCAGGAATCAACAAAAAAATAAAATATCCTTTTCTGATTGTTTGGCCTTAGACACAATTCCCTTCCTTCTTTTGTCATATGGAAAAACAGTTGCTTGATAGTCCTAATTTTTATTCCTCTGTCGGGCTTAATTTACTGAATCCCCCAAGTGAATCGTGCAGTAAGTTTCTGTGACTTGAGTAGTTGTTTTACACTGCACTCAGTTGCTTAAAGGCTTATGGTCAGGGCATGAAAAAGGATTCTTTGCTTTCCTTTCCTGCAGAATTTGGCCTGTTCTTAAAGCCTGGAGTCTGTTGAAAGAATTGGGGTCTTTCAAATCCTTAACTCAGACTAACGTGGTCAAGTATGACCCCTCAAAGTATTGCCACAACCTGAGGAAGCTGGAGCCAGAGCTGGTACATGCAGCTCCTGTATCCCAGCTCACCTGGAGCCTGGAAGGAGGAGATGACAGCGTGACCAGGAAACGGCAAGGGGAATTCCCTGGGATGAGGAAACCACCAGAGAAAAGGATGCAGCTGGGCAGAGAGGCCCTGAGTGGAACAACTCTGTCCTCTGTCCTCTGTCCTCCAAAACACACAGACTCAACCCAGCTCAAAGAAAGATCAAAACCTAAACCTGGTGAGGAGTTGAAATTGCCTCCAGCAAGGAGACTGGATGGGAAAATATCTAAAAATGCTAATGGAGTTACAGCCAAAAGTAAAAACAGTGTTCCTGATAGTGATATTGATTCTGAAGAGGAGATCAAAGCAATGGTAAAGAGAGAGGCAGAAAGACAAAAAGTTGAAAATGTTGAGACTGAAAGTGAGCACTTGGAAATTGTTGAGGATAATTTTGAATTAAAATACAGTAGCCACTGGTCCTTAAGCAATTCGGATACCGTGACGAAAGCTATCAAAGGAAGTAACAAAGAGAAAGAGACAATGGAATGTGATAATGGTTATGATTCAGCAGATACTGATGAAATAATTTCTGAAAGTAAAATTTTGGAAGACTCTAAACAGGGGAGGGTGAAAAATAAAGAAATACTAGTTAAAAACAGAAGTGGTTTGGTAAATAGCTCCTCACTGAAACTACGCAGTTTAAAAGAAAAACACATTGAAAGAAAAGGGAAAGTTAAAAAATCCAGAATTGCTGCCTTGCAGAGTACAGCAGCCAGCAGTACAACAGAAACATGTGATAGTGACAGCTCTTGTTCAAAGTCTGAAATCAGCTCTGATTTTGAGACTATGATGCAAAACTGTTACCGCTTAGACCTTACATTGGATGACTTAAAAGCATTGGCTACAGAAAACACTGGGACACCTGTAGAGGGGTCAGGCAGTGAACAGAGTCCTTGTCAGTCCAGCATTGAAGATAATCCCAAGGATAATACTGTGAATAAACCAAAACTTTCTAAATGTCACCCTGCAATTAAAAAAAAAAACATCTGTCCTGAAGATGTGCTGGCTGATATTTTAGCAGGGGAGGAGGATACTGTTGAGGAGAGCTCCAAGGAACAGAGTAATTCACATTTGAAGTATCAGCCCTTCAGAGGAATGAGGTCCCTTTGTGTAAAAGAGTTAAGTAAGGACAGCACTGACTTAAAGAAGAAGTCTGTTGAAAGTTTGGGAGTTGAGGCTTATACATCTTATTTTGGGGAGGAATCATCTAAAAATCAGCTAAAGAACCGTCCCTTGTGTTCACTTGAAGTCATCAGCAAAAAGAGACACAAAGTGCCTTATGAACAGCATGAGGAACTGCCAGCTGCTGCCTGCTCAGCAGGTCAGAGACTTCAGCCTGGTTCCAGGCCTCATTTGCAAGAGAAGAACAAAGGTGTGAGTTCTCTACAAGACCAAAACTCAGAGCACAGAGCTGCTGCTGCCAGTACTGATCATGATGATGGTAGCAGTGACATGGACAGTGATGCTGCAGGGGCCCGGGAGCACATTAAAGAGCAGCCAAAGAGCCCAAAACTGCTTTCCAAAACATTAAAGAGGAATACAAGCAAAAAAACCACAGAATGTGAAGGTAATAAAGGTGGAAATGAGAACACAAGCCTTCTAGAAGATAAGGAACTTTGTGTTCTTGCTGCTGCCTCAAAGGAGTCCAGTACAATAGAGAAACGGCTCCAAGACAACCAGAGGAGGCTGGCAGCTCTGGAAGAGAGACACAGAGAGAGGGAATTACAGAAGAAACTCATTCAAGGAGCTCTTTCAAATCTGGTAATTACAACTTCCACCTGAATAGTACACAGTACAAGGAAGAGGGCAATTAATACATGTGGAGTAAGATGTTTTAAAATCATAATCTGGAATTTCTAATGACATTGCCAGTTTGCTTTTTGAGAGTATACAAAATCCTGCATACCTCCTCCCTGGCATACCTATAGAGTTGCAAGAGGAATAGCAGGTTACTACTTTTTGTGTCATGAAAACATCTTTCAGATAGTCATGTCTGAGTGCAGCAAGTATTTGATGTGTTTGACTTGACAGTTGACTCTTTCCTAGGACAGGCAGCCAGCAGGACAGCACAAACACATCATATTCAATTCTGATGTGGAAGACGAAGCTGAAGTGGATGAGATGTTGAAAAAGGATGCAAGTTTGGGAAAAGGGCATGGAGAAGTAAGTGTTACTGGGAAAAAATCAGTATGATGTGGTCAGAAAGTTGAATTTTTATACAAAACTATCTCATATTGTAACACCTGAGTTTTACTTTGAATGGGTATTTTGCCTATGGTAAAACTGAATAGTCATAACTGTAAAGCAGAATTGTACAAGGTGTGTGGACAAGGTAAGATTTGAAGCACATGGATCAGGAAGGAAGCTGGTTGTGCAAGAAATCTGCTTTGTCAGCTAAACTGGAGAGCACATGAACAAAGTTCATACTGATTTACATTCTCAAACTTATGTGAACAGCTGCTTTTCTCTTCTTTTCTGTTCGTGTAACAAAGGATAAGTCAGGTCCCAAACCTTCGAGCAGACTGTTTGAGAGCAGTGAGGATGAGCAAGAGGATATGGATGATGAGCGATTCAAAATTAAACCCCAATTTGAAGGCAAAGCTGGTGAAAAAGTGAGTGAAGCCATTACTGTAATTTAGTTTTCCTCTAGGTTTTCATAGCAGCACTTCAGAAGAACATAACCTGTGTCTTTCCTTCTTGCTGGGTATGATTTCTATGAACTTAAAACAGAATTCCCTTAAAGGAAGGACATAATATGTGGTGGGAAGTGGGAAGAGTTTCTCTGACATTGTCATCTTCATATACGAAGAAATTACTGGAAAAGGCATCAAAAGCTAACATAAAAGAGTATGTTGCCATTGTTATAGTAAAAAAAAAAAAAAAAAAAAAGTTACCGAATTAGGATTTTCTTTTCCAGTGCTTAATAGCATCTGTTTCATTTGTTCAGCTCCTGCAGCTTCAATCTCGCTTTGGCACCGATGAAAGGTTCCGCATGGATGCTCGATTCCTTGAGAGTGACAGTGACGGAGAAGGTAAAGCTGATTATATTTCCTGGTTACTGGTAGCCATAGAGCCTTTCAACAGCCTTTCTTGCTTTACTGGGTTCTTGTGTAGAGAACCTGTCAGTGGCAGGGGAGTTGCACAGCTGTATGATGCAATCAGGGAATGGGTTAAATAAATGCTCTGACTTTGCCATGAATTAGATGCCTGTGACATTTCTAATGAAAGGTTTTCTACAGGGTATGGCAGAAAACCTTCAAGTTGCTTCAAGATAAAAAGAAGTGATGTGTTCATAGATGTGAACTCTCCTAGTACTATAGTAAATGTTATGCATCCCACATTGCCGGCTTAGCAGATTAAATAGAATGTATTTATTTTTCTCTTAGCAGAGACAAACAACCTGAAGGCAGATGAAGATGAGGAGCTTGCTGCGGAGAAAAAGAAAAATCTGCAAATACTGGGAAGCCTCCTGAATATCAACCTGGAGCAGCCCGAGCCAAATAAAACAGCCACAAGTGTGAAGAAATTCAAGTATGAATCATCTGCTATCAGTAAAGAAGGAGGTTTAGGAAGACTTAGGAAGGAAGCTGAAATGCCCTGAAATCTTTGAATTTTGGAAGATGGGTATAAAGGGTTCTTATGTGTTGTTTTGGGCTTTTTGCTCCTTTGGACTATTTGAAGTTATGCAGTGTTTGGTACTAGAAGAAATATATCCACATCTATATATATAGGTGTATTTATGTAGCTCCTCAAGAGACTATCAGGTCCAGGTATAAACACACTGCATAACACACAAGTGAGTGCTGTGTTTTATCTGAAACATCACAATTTGATTAAATCCACTTCTGCTTATATGTTTCATGACCCCGACTCTGACTAGAGGGTGTTTTCTAACTGCCAGTTACATTTTGGAATGATTTAGATCTTTTTTGGTAAGGGAACGAATGTGAATCTCTGTCAGACTGTAAAATTTTGAGGTAGCTTTGATTTTGGTATTTAGATTGTACACTGGTGTTTCTTTTCCTTTCTATTTTTATAGAGATATTAATGCCCTCCGTTATGATCCAACAAGAGAGGACCATGCAGTTTTTGAAAGGAAACTAAGTGCTACAGAAAATAAGAGGTAGTATTACAGCTTGCTAACTACAATTGTGTTCCTTCCCCTGGAAAGATGGTTATAGCAACAGACTGAGTTTGAAATTATGCAGATTGTTCTGATTTTAATTTAGTTCTCTCACTGGTTGCTAAAATCAAGATATACTAGGAATTGTGACCGCTAAAACCAACATGTATTGTAATCTTTCCTTTCTAATCCATCTGTTTTCTGGATGCCATTTTCTGTCCTCACTGAAGGTGAGAAAGGTCAATTCAGGGACATGGAGATTTGTAGGTCTGTGGGAAAACCTTAAGAAATCTCTGCTACACATTGATCAGATTAAGAAATCTGTGCTATCATTATGTCTGTTACCATGTATTAAGTGAAAAGTCACTTTAATGATTCGGCTAATTAAGAAGGACTCTTCTTCCGGCCTTTCGATTCCAAGCTGAGATGTTTCCCCACTGCTCACTCTTGAGGAAACCTCTCCTTAATGGGCTTGGATATGGTTAGGGAGATGTTCAGAGCAAGGTGGCTCCTAGGGAAGCTGTCTTTGGAAAGGTCGTGCGCTGTTTTGCTATCCTTGAACAATCTCATTTCAGTAAAGCCAAAAGGAAGAAGAAAGAAGAGAGTGAGACACTGCCTCAAGTGTCTGAAGAAATTTATTATGATATTGCTGCTGATTTAAAAGACTTGTTTGGAGCTTCAAAGAACAAACCAGAAAAGACTGTGGAAATACCCTGGGACAAAGAGGATGTGCAGGACTCTGCCCCAGATGACCATTTTGGACCTTTGCCTGAGAACGACGCAGCTCAGGAGTCAAGTGCATTCAAGTTTTCCTTCTTTGGAGACACAGAGGAGTTGAGCATCAAAGAAGGTAACAGCAGAATGTGTAAGAGATCCTTAGAACAAAGTGGAAAATTCTGGAGAAGAGGTGTAGATCAGAAAATCTGGCAGGAGCAGATTCTGCCATTCCTAAATCTGTTTTCTCCACTGTAAGTATTTCACTCAAATTACGAATTTTTACTGACAACTAAAGATATAATCTGGTTTTGGCTTTGTTTCTTCTTTGGTGCTCTTATTGCAGAGCCGTACGTACTTGGAACAATAAAGCCAGTAAAAGTCACATGGCAGGAGGATTCACGTTTCCAAGACAGCAGTTCTGAGGGTGATGATGAGCCTGAGATGTCAGAAATTGAAAAGGACCAAGAAATGCAAGTTCCGTTTCTATTTTCTGTCTACCTGGCTGTAGTAGTTGGATGCTGTGGGAATATTAATAGCAGCGCTCGGGGAATGGGAAACTGAGATTGCACACCTCTGAGCAATGAAAGTCATCTTGGAAAACCATTTGTGCTGCCCAGAGTCAAAACTCCCAGCAGCCCATGTGATGTGAAGTTGAATATGAAAAGAGAGATGTTGAGCACAAGAAATTAACTGGCTCATTTTGGTTTGACCAACTCCAAACTGAGTTTGGCCAGAAGCCAAAGACGCAGTCAGTTTTCTTTTAAGAAGTTGTTTATTTTTTTCTAGAAGCCTCTATTTGGCTACTAGGGAATAAAGCTTTTCAATGTATACCATTTCTCTGAAGCGCTACAGTTTTAACTTGCATTCATGGAATTTGATAGTACAATTTTGGATGCTAAAATCCCTTTGTACTTGTCTAGGTTTGTTTCTTTACCACGCACAGAAAGTGCTAGAGTTTTCTTCTTCTCCAAAGATGATGAACGCCTAAGAGGTACAACAGAATTTCTTCTCCCCATTTTGGATTTTTTTAAAACTGTTCCTGGCATTCCATGAGGAAGAAAAAATGCTGCCTGCTTAGGAATGTTTCCTAGTCAAATTTTGGCATCCTTCCTTGTGGTCAAAATTGTGGCAGTATCATATGAGAAAGTCCTGGTAAAATAAAGGCCAAGCAGATTTCTGGCTTTCTTCTCTTTAAGATTATTGCCTAATAGGAATCTGGACTTTTAGAGCTTATCAAAAAAATAGTCACTTGACAGGTTACCTACACATTTTGGATCCTTGCTGGCATAACTTAGAGAACTGCAATCTACTGGCCTATGTACAGGGTTTGTTAAAATGGAGAGCTCAGTCCTTAGCAGGCCTCAGTTCTGGGGGAAGATGTGTGATCCTGGTGCTGAGCTTCTAATGAAACAGTGGCTATTTCACTGCAATTTAGACTGCAGCATGCTGAGGAAAACTGCTGCTGCCTTTCATTGTCCTGCGGACACCAGGCCGCAGTAGGGTACATTTCTGTTGGGAGACAACGTCTGGTGGGGGGCAAGAGAACAGGAAGGATGTGAAGAATTGACTCCTGGCTTTATTGCCATGTTGTCCATGATTGTTAGAAGCAGCAGCACAATCAGAAGTGTATAAGCTTATTAATTGGTTCTTTTTTTTTTGTGTAGAGGGCCCAAAGTTATTTTGTAGATCCGCAGATCTTAGTGAAGAAAAAGAGGGTTGGGAAGACCGACGTAGATTATTGCTTGAGGTGAGTATGTAACATCTGTTCCCTGGGAACTGTAGGTGAAAGCTGAGCACAGGGGGGAAATGCAGGTATGAATGGGCATGCAAAATTAATTCAGGACATCGAGAAGAGTCTTCAACTTTGCAACTCCCCAGGAACAAAAGGGTTTTAGTCTACCGGTCTGTATAACATCATGTTTTGTTGTCCAGTCAGGTAAACCACTACATCTTTGTATGTTACAGGAGCAGCTACTTAACTGTATGTAAAGGATGTATTTAAGAGAAAGAGTGAATTTAGAGACTTCTAATACCATGTTGGATATTCACTCTTTTTAGGAATGCAGGAAGAAGCACAAGGATGCCAGAAGAAAAGTGAGAGCAAAACAATAAACTTTGTTTCACTGATCAGAAGCTTTGCCATTTTGTTCCCTGAAGAAGTTGCCAAAGAATGTTATTTTCACAATCCTTTCAATGATCTAAGAGGAAGAAATATTGATAGCCTATCTTGTTCAGCAGTGTTTCCGAGCTGGGGCTGATGCTCTTAGGTGCTGGGGAGCCACGGGAAGGCTCCAGTCCTGACTGTCCGGCCAGGCTGGGGCCATTGAGCTCCAGCTCATCCCTGGCGGCTCTAAGGGCAAGCAGGAATGGCAAAGGCGCCCCATACAAGGACGAGGCTGGACCTCAGCCCTGCCCCCGGCCCTCCAGGAGCGGATGGGCTCTGCCAAGCCCGACCTGGGCACTGCCCCCAGCCCAGGGACACGCAGGTGCTTTGCCCAGAGCCGTGCCCATAGCAGCAGAGCTGTCACCCCCCAGCTGGCTGTGGTGGGTGTGAGGCTCCAGCAGTGCCCGTGGGTGCCCTGGGCAGCGCATCAGCAGCAGCACAGGAGCTGTTGGCAGGGCTTTGGGAAGCACAGGGGTCAGCCTCTGCACGGCGACACAGCATGCACACTGCAGGGCACAGAGCCAATGGCAGCGGGCATGAGCACCTCTGCGGGGCTCTTTGGCTGCAGCAGCATCGGCCCCAAGGGCTGCTCTGTCCCTGCCGGCCTGCCTGGCTGATGGGCAGGGCTGGAGGCCTTGGAGAGCAGGGGACATTGCGGGCACGGGTGTCCCAAGAGCTGCCCCCTGGCCCAGCTGGGCCCCACTTGGGGAGGAAGGAGGCTCCCAGCCGCAGCATGGCTGAGCAGCTCCTGCCTCCCCCTGCCTCTGCTCTGGGCCCCACACAACGCCTGCCACAGGAGCCCCTGGGCCCGGCTGTGGAAGGGCGGCTTTGCCCTCACCTGGTTCCCTGGCACCAGGGCCCTCCTGCCGCCTGTCACACATGGCAGCCGTCAGTGGTGAGTCCCTGTCCAGAAAAGTCTCCTCCAGGTGCTGGTCCTCTCTCTCTGTGGGAGAAAGAGGAGGGTGGGGAGTTTGCAGCACAGGCCCAGAGCCACGAGGGCACTACTCCCTGCTGAGCCCTGCGTGAGCCCTGCTCCTGTCCGCCTTCTCCTCCCGTCGTCGCCTCGAGGAACACTGCACTCTACTCGGCTGTTCCTCCTCTGATTCTGGGCAGGGAGAGGCAGGGGAACCTGCAGCACAGGCCCAGAGCCCCGAGCTGTGGGGCTCCTCTGGTCCTTGGGCAGCAGCGTCCCTGCCCTGCCTTCTCCTCCCGTTGTCAGGTCGCACTGACACACGGCCTGAGCCCAGCCTTCCCTTTTGGGGCCAAGGGAAATCTCTGCCCCTGCCTCTGGCTCAGGGTGCTCTGCCGGCAGGTCAGGGAAGGTGATACCCCCAGAGAGAGGCGTGAGCAGTGGAGGAAAGCCTCTCCAGTCTTCCAAAAGGGCACCAAGGAGCCAGGAAACTGCAGGCCTATCAGCCTCACTCCATCCCCAGAAAGGTGACAGAATAGCTCCTCTTGGATGTCATCTCTAAGCCTGTGGAATAACAGGAAGGGAAAACTGTGGGTGGGCTTACAGCTGTTCTGCAGGGCAAACGACTGAGTTAGCAGAAGAAGAAATTAATAAAATACAAGTTTATCCATGGCAAGGAAGAAAGCAAGGCTGTTAACATGGAAACTGATAAACACATCAGGGTTACTTGTAGTTGCCTTAGTGAGCAGTGTGCATGCCTTCATATTTTGTGGTAAACACATTTGCAATGAATTGTTGACATTCAATGCTTTGTACCAATAAAATACAATAAGCTATTGCTTTGTCCATTGAATATCTTGAGCTTTTTTGATGTAACTAATGACTTAAGATCACACTTTCTTAGGGGTATAAAAACTTGAGAACAACTTGTAATAAAGAAGAAGCCATTGCTGTCGCTGCACAGGTCTGTGTATGTCTTGTGTCCATCTCTACAGCGACAGAAAACCGTGGTTGACCAATCTCACAGCCACCTCTGCTGCACTGACTGGATGGGTTTGTGAGGGGAGAGCAGTGGCTGTTTCCTGGAGCTTATTTTAGGCTGGGGTGGCTTTGTGTGGTGGAAAAACTTTTCTTTTAATTTGTGCTTTTAAAGAAAAGCTTAGAAGTTTTTTGTTATTTGGTTTTAAGGTAGTTTATTGTAAGTTATTTAAAAGATTGTCTTCTTGGGTAGTTGTGGTTTGCTTAGTAGCTTAGGTAAAGGCACATACATACTTTGATATCTTTTTTGACTTTTGTTTTTTTCTTCTCTCCCCCCGCCCAGGGTTGGTGTTATTTTTTATGTGGTACATTATGTGTTAAATGTTTATAGTTTTTCTTTAATGCTTATTACTTATACTAAATGGTGCTTTTTTACCCTAAATTAATTTGTGAGTGTTAACATTACTAAGAATATGGAGGTAAGGAAGAAGAAAGAGGAGAAACAGGATAGGCCTAAATCTCTTTATCTTAAAACTTTTGATTTTTATGTATAAAACTAAACCCCCCCTGTATAAGACTTAAAATCTTCTTGTATAGCACTTAAAAATTTTTCTTTTTACTTTGTGACTAATTTTACTATAATATTTAAACTTTTGCAACTTTTTGTTCTTTTTGTAAGGTTGGTAAATTATTCTATGGTTTAAATCTAAAATTACAGCTGTTTTTAGTTGCCTGCTAGGCTCTTAAATGCTTCTGACTTGGACTTGGAACATCTAAAAATGTCTGAGGGACATTTTGAGTTCTGACAGCTGTTGTCAGCCGGGACTTCAGCAAGGCTTTGTCCCGGCCTCCCATATCACGGTCATGGAGCAGCCCAGGGACAGTGGCGTAGAGAAGTGGGCAGTGGAGCTCCAAACTCAGAGAGCTGTGAGCTCAGGGGGCCGTGCTGGGGTCAGCCTTGTTTGCCCTATTCCCCAGTGACCTGGCAGAAGGGACGGAGCGCTCCCTCAGCAGGTTTGCTGATGGGACGGAAACGGGAGCAGAGGCTGATAAACCACACGGCTGTGCTGCCCTTCAGTGAGACCTGGGCATGCTTGAGAGTTGAGCAGAGAGGGACCTAGTGAAGTTGCACAGAGGAAAGCCTCTCGAAGAGTTTGAAGGTTTGTAATTACCAGGCAACAGAAGTTCTTTAGTATAGAGGCGTGTATAACGTCATTTTGTGATGTCCACTCAGGGAAACCACTGCACCTCTGTATGTTACAGGAGCAGTTCCTTGTATGCATGTAAAAGAGTCTTTGAGACAAACTGTGAATTCAGAAACTTCCCCTAATATTATGTTGGATTTTCACAATTTTCTGGACTGCCTGGTGAAGTGTAAGGATTCCAAAAAGAAAGGGAAAGCAAACCAATAAATCTTCTCTTAGACATCAGATGTGTTTCCTGTTTGTTCCTTGAACAAGTTGCCAAACAATGTTACTTTGGAAATCCTTTCGAAGATCTAATAGGAAAAAGCATTGGCCCAAAGTGTTAGCCTGTGTTTCTGAAGAGGAACTTTTTGCTTTTTGTGTCAATTCCAGGTTTGTACCAGGGTTTGGGGTTTTCTGTGTGTTTCCTTTGAATGTGAGTTGCTTTTATGCAGGACTTTGAATGATTCGATCATGTACCCAAGAGAACATTTTACTGTGTCCTGCTGTCCAGTGCTGAACCGGGTTGAGACAGAGCAGGTGGCTGTGTCTGTGTGCAACGGGCAGGAGCAGCACCAGGAGCAGCAGCAGAGCAGTGCCCGATGGCTGCCTCGGGACCTGGCATTTGGCCCTGCACTTGCTGCAGGAGTCCCTGCCCGGGTTCCCTGCTGGCCCAAACTTCGCACCCATCTCAGAACCTGGGTCCCCAAGGGGGTTGCCTCAAGTGGTTGCCAGGAACCTGAGGCCATGGCTGCACCACTTTTGGCTGCACGATGCTGATGTCAGAGTGGCCATTGTGACCCGCGCAACCAAGGCCTCCAAAGGGAAGGCTGGGCTCAGGCCGTGTGTCAGTGCGACCTGACAACGGGAGGAGAAGGCAGGGCAGGGACGCTGCTGCCCAGGGACCAGAGGAGCCCCACAGCTCGGGGCTCTGGGCCTGTGCTGCAGGTTCCCCTGCCTCTCCCTGCCCAGAATCAGAGGAGGAACAGCCGAGTAGAGTGCAGCGTTCCTCGAGGCGACGACGGGGAGGAGAAGGCGGACAGGAGCAGGGCTCACGCAGGGCTCAGCAGGGAGTAGTGCCCTCGTGGCTCTGGGCCTGTGCTGCAAACTCCCCACCCTCCTCTTTCTCCTACAGAGAGAGAGGACCAGCACCTGGAGGAGACTTTTCTGGACAGAGACTCACCACTGACGGCTGCCATGTGTGACAGGCGGCAGGAGGGCCCTGGTGCCAGGGAGCCGGGTGAGGGCAAAGCCGCCCTCCCACAGCCGGGCCCAGGGGCTCCTGTGGCAGGCGTTGTGTGGGGCCCAGAGCAGAGGCAGGGGGAGGCAGGAGCTGCTCAGCCATGCTGCGGCTGGGAGCCTCCTTCCTGCCCAAGTGGGGCCCACCTGGGCCAGGGGGCAGCTCTTGGGACACCCGTGCCCGCAATGGCCCCTGCTCTCCAAGGCCTCCAGCCCTGCCCATCAGCCAGGCAGGCCGGCAGGGACAGAGCAGCCCTTGGGGCCGATGCTGCTGCAGCCAAAGAGCCCCGCAGAGGTGCTCATGCCCGCTGCCATTGGCTCTGTGCCCTGCAGTGTGCATGCTGTGTCGCCGTGCAGAGGCTGACCCGGACGTCTGCGGTGACAAACTGGAGAAGCACGGGGTCTGTGCCCACGTGTACTGCCTGGTGAGTGGCTCCGGGCGCTCCCTCCACCATTGCAATGGGCAGTTCCTGCCTCTCTCTCCTCATCTGCTCCTCCCCTCTGCTGCAGTTCTTTGCCACTCTACTTTTTGCTCAAGAGGACAAGCATGTTGGACTCAAGGGATTTCTTCCTCGAGATATCCAAATTGCAGTGCGGCGGGCGGCACAAAAGGTGAGAGCCTGATGCAAGCAGGGAGATTTGTGCCAGGTGAGGTTTGCCAGAGCTTAGCCCAGACGCTTGGAATGAAAGGCCTGCCCTTCTGGCCAGCTGTGGGACAAAGTCTGGCTCTCAGCAGCTGCACAGAGGCCCTGGCACAGGAGCCCAACCCTCCACCAGACGGCTCTGTGGGCTGAGACCCAGCAATGGCCACATCCTCCGCCCTGCCCGGAGCCCTGGGGCTGCCTGGGGAGGCCCCGAGGCTGCTGCTGATGGGGTTGCTTGGCTCTTTCCAGCGCTGCTGCGTCTGTGGCCAGAGCGGGGCAACCATCATGTGCTGCAAGAGGGGCTGTGCCAGATGGTTCCACCTGCCCTGTGCCAAGGACGGCGGCTGCGTCACACAGTATATTCTACATTACAGGTACCTCCTCCCCACTCCTGCTCACTCCTGGTGGAAGATCCAACATTTCTCACTTTGCCCATCCATTTTCCTCCAGGTCCTACTGCCCTGAGCACTGTCCAAAGCAGGCCGTGGAGGCGACTCCAGAGCCGGGCACCAATTGCCTCATCTGCTTGGAGCCTGTGGAGGATAGAAAGACTTTCAGAACCTTGGTGTGCCCAGTGTGCAAAGGGGCCTGGTTCCACAGGGACTGCATCCAGGTAGGAGCCCTCCCCTCAGCCCCAGGGCACAGCAGGTGCTCAGCATCACCAGGGCCTTGCTCACCCTGCTTCTGTTTGCCCTGCAGGGACAGGCCATGCGTGAGGGTCTTTTATATTTCCGGTGCCCCCATTGCAGAGTCGAGGAGGCATTCCTTCTCGAAATGTTCATACTGGGGATCCGAATCCCCTTCAGGTTGGTGTCCTTCTGCCTGCCTCACAGGACAGGAGGTGCAAGGTCTGTGCTGTGCCAGGCCCTGCCCCAGCAGTCCTGGCCCTGCCCCAGCAGTCCTGGCCTTGCCCTGTCCCGTGAGTCTGGGCTTCAGCTTCACGCACGCCTTGGAAAAGTACGGGAGGAAGAGCAGGGAGAACCTGTACCTCCGTGAGGGAAGGGCAGCAGAAACTCATCAGCTTTTCCGTTCTCCATCAGACTGCCAACATGGGAGGACGACGATGCCTTCGCGGATCTAGGAGAGAGGCACAGCAGGTGCAATGCCAGGGATTGCCTTTACCCGGGAGGCAGGGAGGAGGCAGAGGAAGAGGGGTAAGTTGGGGAGCTGCAGCTGAGGCTCTGCAGGGTACCCGTGTCACTTCAAGGGCTCAAAGAGGAAAGAACTAGAAGAGCTTGGCCGGACAATCACTTTGTCCTCAGTGTCATAAAGCCATTTGCTTCCCCAGGCCCTGGGAACTGCTCCTGTGCTCCTCCTGTGCTGCTGAGGGCACCCACAGGCGCTGCTCCGGCCTGAGAAACAGCGTACAGAGCTGGGAGTGTGACAGCTGTGCTGGTGTTGAAACGGGTATGAGGCAAAGCACCCGATGTCCCTGGGCTGGGTGCAGTGCCCAGGCTGGGCCTGGCAGAGCCCGTCTGCTCCTGAAGGGCTGGGGCTCTGCTCTGGCCAGGCTTGCCTTGGGCCTGGGTGGTCTTTGACATTCCTGCTTGTCCTTACAGCGTCCAGAGATGAGCCAGAGCTCTGTGGCCCCCGGCCGGCCAGTCAGTCAGGACGGGAGCCTGCTCACGACTCCGCAGAATCTGAGGCCATCAGCCCCAGCTCCCGCGGCCCGGTGCCATCGGGGCTTGATCCCCAGGCTTCATCTGCAGAGACCAGCAGCACAGCACGGCAGCAGTCTCTGCCATCTCCCTCGCTGGACACCAGCAGCCCCAGCACACCAGGGTCAATGTACAGCAGCACCCCTGAGCCTGAGGACAGGGGCCATTCCAGACATGCTGGGCCCGGCTGCAGGCGCACCCGCTCCCGCCATGAAGGTCGGGCCTCCAATGGACCAGTCCGATCGAGGAGTCGCTGTGACAGGCGCAGCAGGACAAGACCAAGGACTGAGAGGCCCAGGCGAAGGGAGACTCCATCAGAGACATCCCCCAGACGCAGACGCTCCTGCCAGCAACGTCAGGCCCTCAGTCCACCTGTCCGGTCCAGGAGTCACCGTGACAGGAGCAGCAGGACAAGACCATGGACGGAGAGGCCCAGGCGAAGGGAGACACCTTCACAGGCATCCCCCAGACGCAGCCGCTCCTGCCAGCAACGTCAGGCCCTAAGTCCACCTGTCCGGTCCAGGAGTCGCCGTGACAGAAGCCACAGGACAGCACCAAGGACTGAGAGGCCCAGGCAAAGGGAGACTCCATCAGGGACATCCCCCAGACGCAGACGCTCCCGCCTGCAGCGCCAGGCCTCGAATCAACCTTTCCGGTCCAGGAGTCGCCAGGACAGGAGCAGGAGGAGAGCAGGAAGTGCTGAGAGGCCCAGGCGCACGGGGACACCATCAGGGAGATCCCGCAGGAGCAACCGCTCCTGCCAGAGGCGTCGGGCCTCAACTGGGACCTCCAATAGCAGCACGTAGCCTCGTCTTTTCTTTCTAGTCCATCAGTCGCTGCCGGAAGTGAAGGTGAGAACGGTCAGTACAGGGACCTTGAGATTTGTAGGTCTGTGAGAAAACTGTATTAGCTCTTGACATTTCTACTGGCAGGAAAGTAGCCTTGTGCTAAATCCCTTGATTTCTGTCTTACCATGTATTAAGTGAAAAGTCACTTTAATGATGAGGCTAATTAAGAAGGACTCTTGTTACGGCCTTTCGATTCCAAGCTATGTTTCCCCACTGCTCACTCTTGAAAGTGAACCTCTCCTTAATGGGCTTGGATACGGTTAGGGAGACGTTCAGAGTAAGGTGGCTCTTAGGGAAGCTGTCTTTGGAAAGGTCGTGCGCTGTTTTGCTATCCTTGAACAATCTCATTTCAGTAAAGCCAAAAGGAAGAAGAAAGAAGAGAGTGAGACACTGCCTCAAGTGTCTGAAGAAATCAGACTACTGTAAGCAATACAGTAATCTGAAGAAATCAGACTACTGTATTGCTGCTGATTGTTTGGAGCTTCAAAGAACAAACCAGAAAAGACTGTGGAAATACCCTGGGACAAAGAGGATGCACAGGACTCTGCCCCAGGTGACCATTTTGGACCTTTGCCCAAGAACGGCACAGCTCAGGAGTAGAGTGCTTTCAAGTTTTCCTTCTTTGGAGACACAGAGGAGTTGGGCATCAAAGAAGGTAACAGCAGAACCCTTCTCACAGTGCCATTTCTAAGGAAGAGCTTCTGGCAGGCACTGTAGAGCACTGTGGTGTAAAGAAGGTCAGGATGCAGGGGATTTTCAGCAGCAGAAGTCAGTAATTAGGCAGAAGCATTTTGATCTTCATTTCTGCTTGCCAAGGCTGTGGTAGGTTAATGAGAGGTAACTCATGCTTGCATCTCAGGAATTCTGAAAGGTGTGCTTTGAGAAGGCATTGGGATTTTTGCTGAGTGGTGAAAAGGCTTGCTGTCATGCCCTGAATCTCTCAAAGAGGGAGAAAGGTGACACACCAGTCATATGAAGTTTCATAGAACCCAGCAAGATTTTAAAGGAAATGTGTGTTAATGTAGAGGGAGGAGCAAAATCCTGGAGTTGACCACAAGATTCGTGAACATTCTGTTTGTTACTGAATTCTATTCTTGGACCTTTAGAAAAAGGAAACTGAATGACAAATGATCATTGTGGTGTTCTAACCTTAGATAAATGAGGCCTTATGAAAAGAAGATGAAACAACATTAAATTGACTAACAGACCTGTAGGAGAGAAAAGAAGCCATGTGAAGTTATCCAAAATATTAAAAAAACCAACGCAACAACACAAAGCAACAAGACTCACACAATTGTGCTGAATTCAGAAGGTATTCAGTGTCTTCTGAATGCAACGATAAATGTTTAAGAATACAGCAGAGATCCTGAGAACAAAGTGGAAAATCCTGGAGCCGAGATGTAGCTCAGAAAATCCGGCAGGAGCAGATTCTGTCCTTCCTACATCTGTCTTCTCCACTGTAAGTATTTGTCTTGAAAGGAGGAATCCTTCCTGATAAGTGGAGCAATAATCTGGATGTGGATTTGTTTCTTTTTTGGTGCTCTTATTGCAGAGTCTTGCCGACTTGGGACAGTAAAGCTGGTAAAAGTCACATGGCAGGAGGATTCACGTTTCCAAGACAGCAGTTCTGAGAGTGATGATGAGCCTGAGACGTGAGAAACTGAAACGGACCAGGAAATGCAAGTTCCATTTCTATTTGTTGTCTACTTGGCTATAGTAGTTGGATGCTGCGGGAATATTAATAGCAGCACTCAGGGAAGGGGAAACTGAGATTGCACACCTCTGAGCAATGAAAGTCGTCTTGGAAAACCATTTGTGCTGCCCAGAGTCAAAACTCCCAGCAGCCCATGTGATGTGAAGTTGAATATGAAAAGAGAGACGTTGAGCACAAGAAATTAACTGGCTCATTTTGGTTTGACCAACTCCAAACTGAGTTTGGTCAGAAGCCAAATACACAGTCAGTTTTCTTTTAAGAAGTGGATTATTTTTTTAATAGAAGGCTCTATTTGGCTACTAGGGAATAAAGCTTTTCAATGTATACCATTTCTCTGAAGCACTACAGATTTAACTTGCATTCATGGGATTTGATAGTACAATTTTGGATGCTAAAATCCCTTTGTACTTGTCTAGGTTTGTTTCTTTACCACGCACAGAAAGTGCTAGAGTTGTCTTCTTCTTTGAAGATGATGTACGCCTAAGAGGTGCGACAGAATTTCTTCTCCCCCTTTTGTATTTTTTTAAAACTGTTCCTGGAATTCCATGAGGAGGAAAAAATGCTACCTGCTTATGAATGTTTCCTAGTCAAATTTTGGCAACCTTATTTGTGGTCAGGGTTGTGGTAGAATCCCGTGAGAAAGTCCTGGTAAAATAAAGGCCAAGCAGATTTCTGACTTTCTTCTCTTTCAGATAATTGCCTAATAGGAATCTGGACTTTTAGAGCTTACCAAAACATTAGCCAGCTGAGAGGTTACCTAGACGTTTTGGATCCTTTCAGGTATTTATACCATCTTTAACTTTTTCCTGTCTTTATGATGTTACCATTAGGGATGGTGAGTGTTCTTGTCGGCCACATAGGTCCCTGTGGTTCTTTGTCCTAATGAATCTGGGGTTTTCTCTTCTGAATCCAGGGGATTTTGTATTTAGAAACAAAGAAAACAACAACCAAAGGAAACACACAGTCCCCAAAAATTGCGGAGGCCAGCAAAACAATTGCTTGTTATATGTTTTGTAGAACAGCGTCTCAAGACAGGCTTAAATGATGTGTATTTCTCGAGACTGACTCGATAACGCTGCAGAAATGTATTGCTCTGTTCATACAGTTAGTGCCCAGCACTCTTCCAGCCTGTCTGATTTGCAGGGGGTGTTAAAATGGAGAGCTCAGTCCTTAGCAGGCCCCACTTATGGGGGAAGATGTGTGATCCTGGTGCTGAGCTTCTAATGAAACAGTGGCTATTTCACTGCAATTTAGACTGCAGCATGCTGAGGAAAACTGCTGCTGCCTTTCATTGTCCTGAGGACCCAAGGCTGCAGTAGGGAACATTTCTGTTGGGAGACAACGTCTGGTGGGGGGCAAGAGAACAGGAAGGATGTGAAGAATTGACTCCTGACTTTATTGCTGTGTTGTCCATGATTGTTAGCAGCAGCAGCACAATCAGAAGTGTATAAGCCTATTAATTGGTTCTTTTTTTCTGTGCAGAGGGCCCAAAGTTATTTTGTAGATCAGTAGAGCTCAGTGAAGAAAAAAGTGGGTTGGGAAGACCGACGTAGATTATTGCTTGAGGTGAGTATGTAACATCTGTTCCCTGGGAACTCTAGGTGAAAGCTGAGCACAGGGGGGAAATGCAGGCATGAATGGGCATGCAAAATTAATTCAGGACCTCCAGAAGAGCCTGTAACTTTGCAACTCCCCAGGAACAAAAATGTTTTAGTGTACCAGTGTGTATAACATCATGTTGTGGTGTCCAGTCAGGTAAACCACTACATCTTTGTATGTTACAGGAGCAGCTACTTAACTGTATGTAAAGGATGTATTTAAGAGAGAGAGTGAATTTAGAGACTTCTCCTAATAGTGGATTCAGGAACTTCTCAGAAGAATTTGTTAGATTTTTATTTTTTAGATTTATTTCCTGGAATGCTGAAGGAAGCATAAGGATACCAAATAGAAAGCGCAAGGAAACCAATAAACTCTTTACGCTTTAAATAGAAACGTGCCACGTTTGTTCCTTGAAGAAGTTGCCAAACAATGCTACTTTCAAAATCCTTTCAAAGACCTAAGAGGAAAAAAAATTGGCAAATCCTGTTCGGCAGTGTTTCCGAGCTGGGGCTGATGCTCTTAGGTGCTGGGGAGCCACGGGAAGGCTCCAGTCCTGACTGTCCGGCCAGGCTGGGGCCATTGAGCTCCGGCTCATCGCTGGCGGCTCTAAGGGAAAGCAGGAATGTCAAAGGCCCCCAAGACTTGGGCCAGGCCAGGCCTGGGCACTGCCCCCAGCCCAGGGACACGCGGGTGCTTTGCCCAGAGCCGTGCCCATAGCAGCAGAGCTGTCACACCCCAGCTGGCTGTGGTGGGTGTGAGGCTCCAGCAGTGCCCGTGGGTGCCCTGGGCAGCGCATCAGCAGCAGCACAGGAGCTGTTGGCAGGGCCTGGGGAAGCACAGGGGTCAGCCTCTGCACGGCGACACAGCATGCAGGCTGCAGGGCACAGAGCCAATGGCTGAAAATGATTCCCTGGGGTGTGCCCTGTCATTATCCACCCAGAGCACTCTCAGCCCTGTGCTCCTGTGGTGCTTTGGGTGGGTAACACTGAGCCCTGCAGAGCTGCCCACCACTAAACTAGGAATTGGTTTAAGGAAATTGAACTTGTACATTTTTGGAGTGCTATTTATTCTCACACACATATTCCCTCAATGTTCTGTAGTGATTTTTACTGCTGTGATCATCTCTTCAAGGGAGAAAAGGTCTTTCAAGTTATGTGATTGACAAATAGTGCACTTGACCTTGCTCATTCTGAGTGATGTGAGAGTTGGGTGCTGCACGGAGCCCCTGCTCCCCCCAAGCCATGGGCAGCCTGGTTAAGAACACACATGACAAAAATATCCTGTGCTTCATCCTGTAAATGATCAATGTCATGGTTGGCACCCCTGGTGTCAGCACAGAACTCAGAGAAAGTGGAAAAACCAACAGACAGCTCTTTTTCTACTTTTTGCCTTTCCTTTGAATCTTTGTTTTTACTTTTTTTCCCTGCCTTCCTCATGTTTTTTTTCCCAGAAATGTGGTTTTTTTGCACATTGCAGGTGTCACTTCTTGGTAAGAGTTTTTCCTGCATTAGCTCCATTGACCCGACAGCAAAACAACTGAATGTGTCTTTTGTTAAATCTTGAAATTGTGTTTATGGAGATGGTAAGTTCTGGTAGCTAACACACTGCACTGGGTAGGAGTTTGCCTCAGTACAGTGGCCAATTATCACTTCATTTCAGCTCACTCTGTTTTGCTATATATCACCACCTACAATTTAAAAAACTACTTTGTGAAATACAGTCTAAAGAACATTCTTCTCAGAAGAGAAAGAGCTAAACAGTTCCAACAGTGTTGGAAAACAGGTTTGAATTTTTAAATAGAAAATGCTACACCTGCTTTAGTTTATTTCCTTCTTTTTTCCAGCATAATAACTAAGCTTTACCAGAAAGTTCCTTGCTGTTTATTCGTCACATTTCTAATTCCTCAGATGTTGCAGACTCAAAGGACAAGGCCATTCATTCCTTTGTTTTTTGTGATCATTTGCTCCAATTTTTTTTTAGTCACATTTCACTTTTTTCCCCCTGAAAAAATGTACCATCAGAGCTCTTACTATCCAACCTGTCTGCTAACATTCAGCCTGGCTAATGTGAGAAACCCAAAGTTCACTAGCTGCTCATTAGCAGCCTTTTTTGTGAAGTGATCGCAGTTGCCTGTCTAATGGGAAGGTGTAAAATAAACAGGAAGGTGTGAAAAAACCCCGATCTAGTTAACTGATTTTCATCCTTTTCCCTTTATATCAAGCAAGATATTTCCTGTTGGAGTACTGATTTTTAGCTATGTATATGAATTCTTTCAGACTGTGCTGTCACTTTATATGCTTATAACCATCATCTACTGCCCCCAAGCCTTAATTAGTCTCCTTGCTTTCCTTCCTTTGAACATTTTGAGTATGTCATAACTTATTATATTTTGCTTCATATTCTTTGTGAGGAATAATTTAATATCTTGTTTATATTTTAAGAATTCTACAACTTGCTTTTCACACAAATAGACTTTAATGTTTCCTGTTGTCTTGTATTATCATCTGTAATTGTTAATTACTTCAATGTCTCTGTAAAATCTAACCCATCACATAATTGCACTTAATATCTCACCTTGCTTTTGCAGTGGATTCAGGAAGTGTATGAGCAGTGGTTGAGGTTTTCATTAGTTTGCTCTTATGGTAGTAACAAATTGTCTGCATCAGAAATCATAGTGAAGTGGTTGCAAAGGTAAAACCAGAATGAATTTCTGTTCAGGTAATTACATGTGCAGGAGCATTTGTTTGCAGTTTGAAGAGTTATTATGCAGCAAAGCCTGGAACTGTTAGTAATTTTTCAGCTTCAGGGTGGATTTATTTCAGAGATTTCATCATCTTTGCCAAAGAGAAAGTATATTTTATTTGTGCTGGGGAGAGCATTTACAATCTTTGATGCTGTAACTGTCATTGATAGAAGTAATTTAAATTCTAGATGGCAAAAGAATCTTAATTGGATCACATGTGGTAAGGTCAGTATGCTTGTCAGAGTGCTGTGCAACTTGAGGGAATTATTCTGTCCAATGCTTCAATCTGTCTTCCATTGCAGTTGTGTGATTCCAAGTGGCAAGGATGAGCAGTCATGCAGAAAATCAGTGACAGAATTCTTTCACTGCTTCTAAGGCCTTGCTCGCTGAAGATCTATAAATGTAACTAAATTAATGAGTAAAGGCAGTTTCATGGAGTATTGATGATAACAAAATGACATTCTTATTCTTTTGTGCTTTTATGCAAGGCAGTTACACAGAGTGAATGAGAATATGTTATGGGCAGATTTAATTGATTAAACCCTCTCTGCAGTAAGTGCTAACTCCACTTTGAGCTACATCCCATTTAATACTGAACTCTTGATTGCTGTTCAACAAAATCAATACAGAGCAGAAGTCAGCAGTGAATCTTGTGCCTGCAGCAGTAATGCAGTTTGACAATGAAAATCAATGCCCAGTCCCAAAACTGAGCAGTTAACAGTATTTGTGGTTTATGTCTTTTATAGATCCTTAGGTCCTTAAGGCCAACTGTTAATTTACTGCCTGTGTCTGGATCTGGGGAGGTCACTGATTTAGAGAAATAGGGATTTTGTGCTTGTTTTGCATCATGTATCAGTTTCTGCCACTGAAATCTGTATCTGTTGCATGTGGAATTGTTGCTCAAGGTATTAACCTGTATGCATCTCTAGATAAAGGCCACCACCCATGTAGTGACTAGGAAGGAGGGATTCTTTCACAAAACCAAGCACAATTTCCAATGTTTATTCTTTAAAAATCAGTCTCCTGACTGTGACAATGACAGGTTTGGTATTTTTTTAAGTCTGTAATAGATTCTTTATTAAAATATGTTTTTTAATAAAACTAACTTAATGTATCAAATTTTTATATACCTTGTAGAAATAAAAGGACTGTAATTTGGTTCAAATAGATTGTATGTTATCCTAGAGTTAACTGTCCAACAGCAATATATGAAATAAATGAGAATTTAACTAATTCATAGTTTAGTCATCAGGAATTTTATACTTTTCCTGGAAAGAAATTGTATCTATCTTCATCCATCAGTGAAGAGCTGTGTGCTCTGAGCTTTCATTTAATTTTCAATTCTTCCTTTACCCAGTACAACTCCATGCATTTTTATAAATGTTTTATAGAATAGAAATGAAACTCAGTTCTTAATATGGCACAAATTTCTCAGAAGTTTTTATTATTAACAAGTTTATTTTTGTGTATGTCTGTACGTTTTGTCCTGTACTGTGTTATCTTTGTGCAGTGTTTTGTATGCAACAGAAAAAAGGCACATAAAATCTACATGAGTGCTTGAAGTCAGGTCTGAGACCCTACTGGGAAATTGAGCCTGGTATCTTCACTTGCAGCCCTTTGACCAGTAAATAATATTTTTTCTTGAACAGTGAACTATCAAACCCAAACTGAAATAATCAATCCCTTTAAAACCTTAGAACACAGTTCATTTTTTCGAGTTGCATCAGAAATCTTATAGTCCTCTGGTTATCTGCAGAGCATGCTCCAAAAAAAGGGGGGAGAAGTTTCTGTGTCCCTACATGGTAAAGAATTTATGAGAATTGTTTTGCAATTACTGCTGAATCACTCTTAAAATACTCAGTAGTAGAGACCTCTGAAAAATGTGCAGTGGTGTGAAGCAAATTTGCTTCCTGCCACCAAAAATATGTCTTTTTAAAAGACAATTTATGTGTGTAATTTTCTCACTATAAATTTTGCAGAGTGTTTGTGATTTTTATTGTGAGACTCAAGTGTAGGGTCAAAGAATTAGTCTAGACATTTACCTATGGCTTATTTAATTGTAAAAACTGGAAAAGGATTGTCTGGCAGTGTGCTAGTGTGAGTGGGTCCCAGAATCACCAATGGGTCAGATTGGAAAGGACCACTGGGGGTCATCTGGTCCAGCCTCTCTGCTCAAACAAGGTCACCCCATGGCACAGGATTGCATCCAGGTGGTTCCTCCCAGTGGGGAACACTCCAGACCCTCTCTGGGGAACCTGTTCCAGTGCTATCACCTGCACACTAAGGTTCTTCCTCACGTTCAGGTGGAAATTCCTGGGCATCAGTCCCTGCCCATTGTCTTGTCTCATTGCTGGGCACAAGGAGCAGAGCTTGGTCCCTGCTCTGACCCTTCCCTGCAGACACTGACACACAGGGATGAGGTCCCCTCTGTCATCTCTTCTTCAGGCTGAACAGCTCCAGCTCCCTCAGCCTTTCCTCATGAGAGATGCTCAAGTCCCTTAATTATGGGATCACATCCTTTGGCTGCTTTTGCTTTATCCTTAAGCAATGGCAGTAGAGTTATGGCTGGTAAAAGTTATGTACACACATATGCCAACACAAACACAGCTTATTTTGTGTGCTTGGAGTAAGAGAAAAATAGTTTCCTGATGGTATGGCTTATCTGGGTTATTCCAGTGCTTACAGAAGCGGGACAGCGTTTTGGAAATGGG